GAATGAGACTCATGGAAGTAGGTAGATTGAGATTCAAACAACAAAATGGTCAATGTGTTAAAAAAGTTTATCTGTGTTTAACCTGGTCCTGACTACAAAACATTCAGGGTAGCAGAGAATGGTAATTCACTCAAACTAAATAAGTATCTGCCATTTCAGAGGATTATAAGAAGGTTAGGGTAGGCAGCTAGCAAATTGAAGTTCTGGTTATGGAACCCAGTATCCCTACGTGCCCTCCCCCCAACATGGAGACTCTCTGGTTCATGGTATTTAAACCTTATCCACATATTAAGAACCTTTATTTTCACTGAATCTCCTTTGAAGAAGTGATGATGAAATGTGACAGAAGGGGGAAAATATTTACTTAAAATAAAATGGAAGGTAACAAAGGGTTAAATCAATTCCCAGACTACCACCTCCTGAATCTTTGGGGGAGGAAAAAAAACCAAACCCACTGTAAGCCTATAGTGCTTTTCTTGTCCCCTCCACTTGTTAGCACACCTCTGTAGGATATGGAATGGGAAAGGGATGGTAGGGACTTGACCAGTGGCTGAAAGCTGAAGCCTCGATGCCTGGAGCATACTGCTTCTTGGCACTGAACACTGAGCTCTCAGTGCCTCCTCCCACCTCTTCTAACAAGATGAGACTTTATCAGCAAAATCTAGTGGCGCAGCATATACAGCTGGGCCCTTGGAGTCAGAAGGACCCGAGTTCAAATTCGGCCTCAGACACTTGACACTTACTAGCTGTGTGACCTGGGCAAGTCACTTAACCCTGATTGCCTCAACAACAACAACAAAAAACCCCTACACATTACTGTGGAGTAGTAGTTCTCAAGCTCTTTCAGATCTCTTAAAAATTATTGAGGACCCCAGTGAGTTTTTATTTATGTAGGTTATATGGAGCAATATATGCCATATTAGAAATGCAGATGTCTTAGTATTATTATGAAAATAGTTTTAACCTCACAGGCCCCCTGAAAGGCACCATACTTAGATCACCTGCTAAAAAGAAATACCTCTAGCTGCTAATGAAGTAATTGTAATGTTTCTTTTCTTCTCTCCTCCTCCACCCCCGCAACAGGCACTTTTAAAAATAGTCTACTTTTTTAAAAGTTTTCCAACAAATTTCCCCTTTATTAATTCCCATGTCATTACTGTACAACCGTCCACAATGGTTCAGGAATCATACTGACGGAGCCAAGGGGCCCAGGGCACTAGCTACATCATCAAAGATAATATCTGAACCATAACACAAAAAATTAAACTCATGCAAACCTGGGGTGGAGTGAGAAACAGGTTGACCGACCTCTCCTCTCTCCTCCATTCTCCTTCCCCCAGGGCTTCAATAAGGCTGAAATCTGGCTAGTTCTTGGAGACAAAGTCTATTATCCCCTGGCTACCCTCCATAAATCAGGAATTGGGCTGAGGAGAAGGGCCCGAACTTGAGAACAAAGTTTTAAAAAGTCTACTTTTTGTCTATTAGCCACCTGCCAATTTACCCCAGAACTTTTAAACTTCCCACTCTGGGTGTGCTTGTCACCCAGTGACTACTGACACCTCCATTCACTAGAACTTCTTGGGCTCCTGGGGGATGTAGTTCCCAAAGACAAGTCTCCTTGACATTTTAATACTGCTCCAAGACCTCAGTTGGAAACTTTCTTGCTGCTTTTTGTATGAACTCTGAGGGCAGAAATCATGTGCACTGTTTTTTCTCTTTATAGGACCCAGAAACACTTGAGAGGGATTTCTTACTTTTTTCTTCTGGTATTGCCCCCCCAAAAAAATTAAAAAAAACAAACAAACAATTTTCCATGGACAGCTAAGATAGAGATCCAGGCCTGAAGACCTGAGCTCAAATCCAGCTTTAGATACTTACTGGCTGTGTGACCCTGGGCAAGCCACTTAATCCTGTTTGCCTCAGTTTCCTCATCTGTAATATGAGCTGGAGAAGAAAATGGCAAACCACTTTAGTATCTTTGCCAAGAAAACTCAAAATAGGGTTACAAAGAGTCGGCCACAACTGAACAGACAACAACCACCAAAAAAAACCCCAACCTAAAACCTGAAAAAAAATCTACATTCCTCCTGCGCAGGAGTTGTAACCTGGATTTGAATTCTGACTCTACTATTTACTTAATGTCTGTGTGACCTTAAGCCACTTCACCTCTCTTGCCTTCTCAATCAGACAAGAATACTTCTCTGAGGTCTATGAGCCTCTCATTCTCGAAATTTCCTATTCACAAACACAAGTTTATAAACCTGCAGAAAAATTTTATTGAAAGAAATAAGAAAAAAAAAAAATCTCTTTTGGTTAACCCTTTAGTGCCAAAGATCTTATAATGATGATCCCAGAATCACATCTAGCCCCTAATAGAAAGAAGGTATTATTGTTTGTCCATCATTCTCGACAAGCACCGTGACGATCAGGAAGGTGAGGCTATGGAAGATTCCCCTGGTTGAGGTCCTGCCTCGATCTCCTCCTGGCTGACTGTTCTTGTGGTCCCCCATGCAGTTCCCAACTGCAGCCAGCTGGGGGCTCTAGATGCTCTCTAAGCTTTGCAACACAAGCATCTTTGGCTAGGTCTTTTGGCAACCTCCACCAGCAAATGGAGGGAGGGGAGTATGAACAGGAAAGATTAATTTAAATGTTCTCTGGGTTTTTTTTAAAATTATTGTTATTGGCACAGTATCTGCTGACAAGGCAAGCGGGAGGGAGGAATTTTAAGTGCTCTCCATGTGTGTGGGGAATTATGGCTCTTCTGTAACATGTAACAGCTGTATTGTTCCTGCTACTTATAGAGACTTGTCCCAGGCTAGGGGGTCTCCTGCCGTGCTCCAATACCCCTATGTACACTCTATATCCTTGAACATCCATGTCATAAACTCCAGGTTCATGTTCACAGTTACAGTACTTAAAGCTGGAAGGAAACTTGGAGATTATCTAGTCCAGGGGTTCTTAACCTTTATTTGGGTCATGGACTTCTTTGGCAGTCTGAAGAGGGAAAAGGGGGAAGGGAACAAGCATTTATTAAGCACCTACTATGTGCCAGGCACAATGTTAAGTGCTTTACAAATATTATTTCATTTAGTAAGGTGAAACCTATGAAACTTTTCTCAGAATAATGGTTTCAACTCTTCAAAATAAAACACACAAGATTGCAAAGAAAACAAACTATATACTATATAAAGTGTCATTTATGTCTCATCCAAGTTCATGGATGCCCTGAAATCAATCCATAGACCCTTTATTTTACATTTAAGGAAATTAAGCCTGGAGAGCGGAGTCATTCATAATATGTAACTACACAGTTAATAGTAGGGAGCTAGGTGGAACAGTGGATAGAATGCTGGGTCTGAAGTCAGGAAGACTCATCTTCCTGAGTTCACTTGTTCATCCTTTTCTCAACTCTTACCTATCCTTTAGTCACTGAATAGTCATGGCCTCCTGGGTTCAAATCTGGCCTCAGACACTTACTTGCTGTGTGACCCAGGGCAAGTCACTTAACATTGTTTGCCTCAGTTTCCTCATCTGTAAAATGAACTGAAGAAGGAAAGGGGGTCACAAAGTGTCAGCAACAACAAAAGTTAGTAGCAGAGCTAAATCCAGTGTTTATTATGCCACATCAGCTCCCATTATGACATGCCCTCGTGATCTTTCTCTTTCTGACCCTAGGTGCCCCCAACTGCTCTGCATTTTCCTCTCCTTAAGCAAGTGGGTAGGTGCAGGCTCAAGTCTGAAATGTTAAAAGACCCGAAGGAATGCCTCCAGCATGTTGGATAAATCCTCTATTTATAGAAAGACACTGGAAAAGAGTCCCAGAGGATGAGAAGGTCTGGATAAGTGGCAATCTTTTCTGCTGGTTGGAGTGTTCACATGATGAGATTACTGAAGTGCTTGGCTGGATTATTCAAATCACCAAGGTTTTCTGCTGCCTCAGCTAGTGAAAGGCTTTGTGCCATTCGTGCCCTCAGGCTGCAACTATTCTGTCAATTTGGGGTAAGGAAAGAGAGGAGAAAATCCTAGCATCAAATATTTTTCTCTTTTCATACATAGTGTCTGCTCCATATGCAAAGTGAACTCAATAAATAAGTCTGAGTTAGCTAAAGGAACAGGGATATAATCACCCTATGTGTAAATATACCATAGAAACAGCATTCATAACAATATTAACTCATTCACATTGCACCTGTTGTTTGTTGTTCAGTCATTTTAGACTCTTCATGACTCCATTTGGGGTTTTCTTGGCAAAGATACTGGAGCGGTTTGCCATTTCCTTCTCCAGCTCATATTACAGATGAGAAAACTGAGGCAAATAGGGTTAAGTGACTTGCCCAGGGTCACACAGCTAGTAAGTATCTAAAACTGGATTTGAACTCACAGAGATGAGTCCTCCTGACTGAAGGCCCAACTCTCTGTCCACTGTGTCACTTAGCTACCCCAGTGTTACCCTATGTTGGACCTGGGGTGCCCCTGTCTCTCAGATGGGGCCTCACGAAAAGCTGTCCATGTTCAAAATACTTGTGAGTGCACACACATCTACTCAAAAACCTTAATGAACCCCCAACAATTTATTTGCTCCTACTAGGCACCCAGAGGATGCATTTAATTCAAAGTAAAGGAATTTAATGAAATATCATTGTAGGGAAAATATCGTTGTAGCAAATGAACATTTCTTATGTAGACCTGGGCCACACTCTCCCCTCATCAGTGTGAAGAGTGAAAACTTGGGAACATATTTGGACAAGGCACTCACATGGAAGGCTTGCAAATGGTGGAAACTCATATAACTAGGATATGTGTTTAGAGGGGCATACAGTAGGAAAAGTGTGAAGAAGCAACTCATACATACATTCCTACAGACCCACAATTTTGAATGGAGATATTGCATTCCTCCTGCTGGTTTTGCATGGTTTCTAATCTCTGCCAGGTGGTGCTTTGCTGGACAAATGCTCACTGATAAACATGGCTAGACTGGGTGCGTAGTTTTAGTTTTCTTTGTCTCCAGATGAGCAGACTTCTTCTACTAACATACTATTTCTTCCCTAGAAAAGGAAAAATCATCCTGACCAACATTCTTTTAACTTAGAGCTTAGAGACTTAAACTTTAGCTCTCTTGGGGAGGTGGGTCTTTCCTACATAGTTGATGGTTTAGGTGGCATTACTAAGCTGTTGTTTTCAAATCTTTGTTATGAGGGAAGGCTTTCTAGGTAGGGAAGAGAGGGACATATTAAAAATGGATAAGTATAGAAGCATAAAGCGTCAATAAAAACTTTTTTAAAAAAATTATATAAGGATTGCAACAACTGAAATTGTAAATGATAGGTTAAAAAAAATTCTAAAATGGAGCATTTTATTCATCACCATTTAAAAAAAAAGATAAAGAACAGATGATTAAAAACAAAGGAGCTTGGGGGGGGCTTTCCTAGAAATGCAGAAACAAACATTTCTCTGAGAAGGAGGATAATAGTTCTATATTTAAAATCCTATGATAAAAATCACCAATTAAAATGATTTGATCACTCACAAAACCAATACTCACCTGTGGAACAAGCATTAGCCTACCTTTCTTGATTAAATTATTAACTGCAGTGTACTCCTCAAGTCTCCCAGCTATTCTGTGAGATGTGGCACTTCCTTCATTCATCTCTTCTGTCAGAAGCTCCAATGGTTTCTAAATCCAGGCTGACTCATTTCCTTAAAGTCTTGGTTCCGGTGGGGTTTCATGTGGTCTGTGAGTGAATCTATCTCTTCTTGTACCGTGCCACATTTATGGCTTTGTTTGTGAAGAAAGAAGAAGTGATTTTCATAGTTCAGGTGGTAAAGAATTAAAAAATAAAAATAAAGCAAACTCTTGTGCATAGAGAGCCCCACTATGTCTATTAACTGGTAAGGACTATCTGTCTTAAAATCAGTATCATAAATGAATGTCTAAAAATACTCATTTTCTTATCATAAGCATAGGTATTCAGATCAGATACCTCAGAGAGAGCCACACTGACTGCACTTATAAATTCCAAGCCAATTGGGTTCCCAAATGACTACCACTGGAACGTTAATGCTATCATTCTTTGCCTAATAAACTCTCACATATCTCTAAATCTATGGTCCTATGAACTGAATGTGTACATATATATCTTGCATATAAGCAGACTTTTTTTTTTTGCTTTTTTTCCCTCACTTCCTAGATTTAATTCTTAAATCTTCTTCATGACCTCCTCTTTTGCCATTGTTTTCCTTTCCAATACTCTGGTATCTGGCTACCGTATAAGATATTCAAGCAACTCAATGGTTAACCTTTCTGACAGACTCCATGCTGGGCACTGCTCATCCTGAATGAAAAGAAAGCATTGCTTTTATCCACCACTTTCCCTCATTCCCCGCTATTGCCATGCAATACAGGATGAGGCAAGCTGATTCCTGGAACAAAGAGCCCAGATATCATCCTTATCTCTGCTTTAATAAACCATACTTTACCATAGAGTAGAAGAGGCCACATAGTACCTCACGGGAAATAAGTAGCAAAAAACATTGCATTTTGTAAGTGATTCCAATATAATCATGAGTTTTCACACAGGACATATGTGACATGTTACTGCTAATTTCTTCAGCTTTAGAAGGTACAAGACCTATTCAGATATATAGACTTGCTGAAAGGCAGGCCTTTGAGAAAGAAATACCACTGAGACTTTAGGTAAAATCTGATAACGATTGAATGAATGGGTTTTTATTAACTGTGATTCTTTACTGGTGCTTTATTCTTTTTTTTTTTTAATTTTTAGGCAATTGGGGTTAAGTGACTTGGCCAGGGTCACATAGCTAGTAAGTGTCAAGTGTTTGGTCTGAGGCTGGATTTGACCTCAGGACCTCCCAACTTTAGGGCTGGTGCTCTATCCGCTGCCCCCCAAGGTGCTTTGTTATTTCAATGGATCTATGATCTTATCAATAGAGATACTCCCTCCAACAGTGAGAAGTAAAATCCATGCTTCCTCATCCTGTGTGGCTCCTGTCTGGGTCTCCTGTAAATCCCGCTACATGGTCCACCCAACATTGTGAAGGCTTTCTTCTAGCTCTCTTGATACCACAAGTGTGTGCTGTCAGTAGAGTCAGTAGGCTGCCCATCAGTTATCCCTATCATGGGTTCACCTCCTTTTCTGCTCTTGCATCTTTCACATCATTCCTGTTGAGCCATTTTTCACTGGTTATAAGTTGCAACCTGCTTACTCCCACTATGTCCTCTCCCCCACCCCACCCCCAACCACCCCCATTGCATTTCGGTGGTCTGCAACTTAACCTCTCTGATCACCATGATATTCCATTGCTTGCAGCTATATGACAGCATTAAAAGAATATCAAGTTAAAATGATGGGGCTTGAAAAGAACATCAATGAAACATTAAAAAAATAACTAGAAGAGAGCAGAAAGATGTTCAGAAGGGGACACAGACAATCAGGGCAGTGCTGGTACTACCGTGTTAAATTTGATGTGTACTTAAAAAAACCCAATCTATATATGGTAGATTCATGGCTTCATAAATAATCCTCTTTGTCCATGGAAATGTTCATGTTTGATGACTGTCAATTTACTCATTTAAAACTCTTACTTAGAATAAAAATTAAAAAATTAAATATTAGACTTCAATTCTTTGTTCTCACATTGTTCATTTTGGTAAATTCTCCTCAAAAGGGAGAAGAGAGCTATAGTACTGTGTTATAGAATTTCTTCCTTCAGAGGAAGCTTGGGTTAATCTAAAGCATTGCACAATTTCCCAAATGCCTACTCTCTTCCTCCTACCTAATTCTTGACTCAGCCACAGTTTGCTCTAGCCACAGTTTCTGTCCAAGAGATACCAACTCTGGGGATTCTCCATACAACTGTGTATCTTAGTCTGGACCATAGGCATTCTTTATCCACTTGGTTTTTCCTATGTGGATAGTCAGACCACAAAATTCTTTTGAAAGTTTATAGATCTCATTTGAGACATTCTGCAGTATTCCAGGGCTTGAGGCAGTCAGCACAATGTCATCTACAAGCAGGAGCATCTGGAAGAAAACCATCTGAAAGAAATTCTCCTTTCATCAGAACTCTGTGCTGGACACAAGAATCATTTCTTAAATATTTTTGCATCTCCCACACTTCACCTTTCAGTGCTTTGTGTATTCATTCACTCAAGCAATATTTAATAAATAATAACATGTATAATAAAAATAATAATAGATAATAGTAATAGCTAACATTTATACAGAATTTTAACTTAGACAAAGTTCTTTATGTATATTATTTGATTTTATCTTCTTAACATCCTTATGAGGTAAATATTATCAACATCCCCATTTTACAGATGAGGATATTAAGGTTGAGAGATGTTAATTGACTTACACAGCCTGCGGCAAGATTTCAAACTTGGGTCTTCCTGATGCCAAATTCAGTGCTCTACTCCCTGTACCACCTAGCAAAGTTATGAAGTGTCTACCAAGTGCCAGGTAACTAGACATAAGGGTAAAATGCAACCTTTGTCTCCTTGCAGAGCTTACAGTCTGGCAGAAGACATAAAACTCATCCTTATATAATGACAATTTTATACTTACATATTATATATTCTTATATATTTGTATTTAAGAAGTACAAACAGTGTTACATCAGAGAGGGAAAGTTATTGATGAGAGGTTAAGAAAGGTTTTAGCATTTGAGTTGTGCTTTAAGGGATAGGTAGGAATTGAAGAAATGAAGTAAAAAGTAAAAAGAAAGCACTTTCCAGGTACTGGAAATAGCTTAAAGAAAGGCACAGAGCCAGGAAAGGAAGGAAGGAAACAGAATTTGTTAATGCCTTCTATATGCCAGGCACTTTTATAAATATTATTTTCATTTGATCTCTACAACAATCCTGCAGGGTAGGTGCTATTATAATCCCTATTTAACAGTTGAGGAAACTGGGACAAACATAGGTCAAGGGACTTTCCCAGGGTCACAGAACTAGGAAGTTTTTGGGGCCAAATTTGAACTCAGGTCTTTCTGACTCCAAGCCCAGCGTTCTATCAACTGAGCTACCTAGTTGTATCTGGATGAAACCAGAGTTTGAGTTTTGGGGGATAGAGAGTTGCCTTGTTTGACTAAAGCATAGAGAGAGTTTAAGTCAGTAGCATAAGACAAGGATAGATAGGCAGGATGGTGTCTTGTGGAAGAGAATTGTGAATACTAGGCAAAGGTGCTTGGAATCAATTTGGTATGCAGTAAGGAGCCACTGAAGATTTTTGAGGGGAGGAGTGGCAAGGCCAGACTGATGCATGAGGATAATGTGGCAGTTGCAAGAACGACGGTTTGGAAGGCTGAAGAGTGGAGGTGGGAAAAGCCTGTTACAAAGCCATTATGCTAGAGTGGATAGATGGTAGTGAGCAACCTATTCTAGGGTGAGAATTGAAAGGAGGAAATCAAATAGAAGAGATCTAGAGATCTAATCAAGACGACTTGGCAACTGTTGGCCTTGAACCCTGAGAGAAAGGGCAGAGAATGACAAGGTTCTGAATATAGGAGACTAATGGTGGTGGGGCTGACAGAAACAGAGGTCAGAAGTAGGAACTCATAAAAGGCATTAAGTAAATGGTTATTGAAAGAAATAAATTTAAATCTTGAAAAATTCAGCAAGATTCCAGGAAGGAATTATGGCATGGTGCTATTGTAGAGTCTCTTGCTGGTGCTGTAGATAGACTACCAGGCCTAGAGACAGGAAGACTCATCTTTGCAAGTTTAAATCTGCCCTCAGACACTTAGTAGCTGTGTGACTGTGGACAAGCCACTTAACTCTATTCACCTCAGTTTCCTCATCTGTAAAATGAGCTGGAGAAGGAAATGGCAAACCACTCCAGTATTTTTGCTAAGAAAACCCCAAATGGGGTCATGAAGAGTCAGACACAACCGAAATGACAGAACAACAACTATTGTTTCTTTCTGCCTTCTGCGCTACTTACCAAATGAACAACATAAAAACAAAGAATTAAAGCCATAAGTAACCTAGAGACAGTAATTACTATTGATAAAAACAAATTCCATTTGATCAAGCAGTTCCTTAGGTAATGAAATGGGGCATATTTGAAAAAACTCAAGAGAATGCAGATTCCACAGAAACACAAATCATTTCCTGCTGGGGATTCAGAGAAGTGAGCACTGATAGGTTAGTAGCCTAATAAATCTCCTTGCTGAATTAAGGTAGCATCAAAGATAGGACCAAAATGTAACATATGCTAAGAGAATATATTAGATGAATTTACATGCATAGCGTGTTTTATCTCTCTAAATCAAGTTGAGGGACTGAATGAAATATTTTACTGTAAACCAGCCAGGAATACCTCCCTCACAACCTACCTCCAAGGGAGAGTCAATAAATAAGGGGAAATTTCATTTCTCCAAGAAGTTGTTTATCTAGAACACATGCATTACAACAAACCCGCATTACCATGTCTAGATAAATAATGTCTGTAATTTCTGTGATTTAAAGTTGGCAGTGTTTTCGCTCATGTTTCAGAAATAAAGGATTTTGAAAACATGCTTAAATTCACCTTACTTACTAGCTTGCCCTTGTAAATTTTCTCTCTCCTAATTCTTTCATGAACACTACATTAGAAAAAGTTCTGGAATTAGACTTGAGGGACCCAGGTTTGAATTCTTCAAAGGAAAATGAGCTATGTGACCTTGGGAACGTCCATTAATGTTTCACAGCTTCCATTTTGCTTCATCTGTAAAATGGAGGTGACAGTACCTGTCTCACAGGGTTGTTGTGGA